GAGTTCATGATTAAAATCAGTATAATGCTGTATATATGTAATAGACAATAAGTGAGAAGACCTGATTACATTTAATAAATCTCAAAACAGAACACAACAGCTGTGATTAATATGTTTCAAACTACTATATTCACTTCACTTGTGCCATGAATCAGCATATGATTCTTGATGCTAAAAGTCACCGATAATCATTTAAAAGAATGATTCTTAGATTTAACTATCTTAGCTCCTTAGAGCGCAACACCACCCACCTAGAGCCAAGATTCTGTCCTAGTTCTGCCTCTTAAAGAATTTTTCCTTGCCCCCGTCGCCAAGTGCTGCCCATGGCCCACCTCCGTCTGGTCGTAATGTTAAAGGATGCTCTAGACTGCCTATTGAAAAGTGTCTGAGATACACTGTCTGTTATAATGCGCTATAAATAATTAGAACTGAATGTGTGTGTGTGTGTTGTGTGCTGTGTGTGGTATTGGGGGGGGAGCAGTAAGGCACTCCAACTCCTTTTTTTTTCAGCTGAGCGCGCCAAACGGAGAGCATGAAGCTTTCCGAGCAAGTGCGCCCTCTACAGGCCATCTGTACGAATCCTTCCAATGAAGGTAACACAGAGATACCAGAGAAACGAGAGAGAAAGAGGAGGCCATATGCGAAAATTTAGAAGAACCATCTGGCGACCAATTTGGAAAATCAAAAAAGAGGCCGCCATTTGTTTACCTTTTTCTTCTTCTTCTAGTGCGTAGAAATAGCAAAGTCGGTAGCCTTTGCCAGTTGCACCCTCTGTTCAGGAGAAGACCGCAACTAGTGTCGCGCACCAGCGCAAGTATTAAATACGTTAACGGCGCTCCCCGTAACGGTCACGTATACGCGCGACAGGTCGGCAGTGGGCGAGTCTCCAGCGCTTTACGACATGAAAGGTCAGTAGGTTCAGTCGGCGGTGAGCTAAAAGCGTGTGCCATACGACACGTCATATCAAGGGCCACTCTTTTGATCTGCTCCCGGGTCACCACCCTTCGACCTCGAGCACGCCTCTCTCCTCATTACACCTTCGACTAAGAGTCAGCCTGTTATATAAACTCAACGTATATCAACGCCAGTACATTTGCATTGAAGTCACACACACTAGCATGGTTATATTATGGCAATATCTGCAACATTTACCACTATATATGATAATTCCAACTAAATACAGTACACACTGGAAATCCCATTCAAAAGCTTCTCAATCAATATCCCCAACAAAATAAATGTTACCACAGTCTCAAATAGGAGAATACATACTTCAAGGTAAAAGTCATGCAGATATGAATATATATATTCTCACTGACTATCAATTAAACAGAGTTCCAGCGCAATAAGTTAGTTATTATAACAAGCTGCTACATAAAATATTTGCATACTATTGCAGATATACTTGAATATGGTTGCAAGTGTGCCTAATTTCATTTGATGTTATCTACATTATTATGAGTCTCTTTAAATAGTACTGATACTACACTATTTACAATGATTATCTCCTGCCAATGCAATTCTGATATTAGTTTGATACCATATTGTGTACATGTCAGATTCACTGTTTTTTGGAGAGCGTTGGCATTTCATTCCTCATTGATTATACCTCACTTCTGTGTGTTATTGGCACAGTTAAAAAGAGAGAAGTGAAATGAACGGTCCAACCCCAATCTATAAAAAAAAGTCCAAACCCTGCGAAATCGACTTAGACCTTGAATTCACTCTGTTTAACCAATCAACATATCTAAATATAAAATAAACAATATATTTAGCTGCTAAATGCTCCACTATGTTTAGCCAGCTAGTCTCTAACAACTTGAAACCTGGTTGATGATAGAGATTACTGCAATAAACCAAAAATAGAGCTTAGGGTAAGTACTAACGACGCACCCGGCACTTGCGCAGTAGCTCAACCTGTTCAGGCCGCGACTTGCTTGGAACCGAGGCCGCCCAGTCTAATCCAGCATGAACCATAGCTCTTCGAGTCCTTTGCTCACCTTATGTTGATTGGTTAAACAGAGTGAATTCAAGGTCTAAGTCGATTTCGGCAGGGTTTGGACCTTTTCTTTTATAGATTGGGGTTGGACCGTCTCATTTCACTTCTCTCTTTTAACTGTGCCAATATACACACAGAAGTGAGGGTATAATCATGAGGAATGAAATGCCAAACGCTCGCTAATAAACAGTGAATGATGACCATTGTACACAATCAGAGATTAGCCACTTGGCAAGGAGATATCTGTAAAGTGTTCTTCAGTTTCTTTAACATTATTTAACATCAAAGAAAGGCAGTCTTGCAGACCTTTCTCTATCTTTATTTACTTATTTGCAGCTGGATCCTATTGTAGCTTGGCTATATTCTGTACTGCATGCTTATGCTTGTCTGTATTGGACAGTTGGACATTTTTGTGGGATTGATTGAGGAAGCTTGAAGGTTCAGTGTGTACGATTTAGTGGCATCTAGTGGTGATGTTGCAGATTGCAATACCCCTGCTGTGGGTCTGACCACTGCCTGATACATCTCAATCCTACATACAGGCCTGCTGTTAGGAGGAGACAGTCCATCACCACCAGGACTGTGCAGCAGTGGTCGGTGGAGGCAGAGGAGGCCTTGATGGAGTGTTACAGGACAACCGACTGGGAAGTGTTTCAGGAAGACCACAGACACGACATTGAGGGTCTCACCCAGTGTGTCACGGACTACATCAGGTTCTGTGAGGACAGCATTATCCCCACCAAGAGGACTTGCTGATTCCCTAACAACAAGCACTGGATCAACAGGGACATCAAAGGCAGAAGATGGCTTTCATGGCAGGAGATGAGGATGCCAAGAAAGACATTCAGAGGGAGCTGAGGAGGGAGTTGAGGAGGGCCAAAGACTGTTACAAGAACAAGATAGAGGGGAAGCTGCAACAGACCAGCACAAGAGAGGTGAACTGAGCAAGCTGGTGAGGAAGGCCAGCTTGGTGGTGGGGATGGAGCTGGACAGTGAGGAGGTGGTAACAGAGAAGAGGATGAGAGAGAAGCTCAAAGCCATCATGGACAACCCCTCTCATCCTCTCTACACTGAGCTGAGGCTGCTCAGGAGCAAACAAGAACAGTCACCTTCACCCGCTCAGCTCCCTGGTTCACAGATGG